CGGTGCAAAGAGGGCGGCAGCCCCGCTGTGGAGCCCTGGCCAGGACCCATGCAGTGCTGCTGGGCTGCCCGGGGAGGGCGTCCAGTTTGGAGGCGGTGGGGAAGGTGGGCAAAGGGGTGCTGCCCACCTGGCTGCAAGAAGTAGTAGAGGTTGGGGATGCAGGCGGGGGTCCCTTGCGGGGCCTACACGTGATGTTGTCCTGGGGAGCGGGGCAGGAAGAAGGTTTGCGACTGTTAAAAGGATGGAAACTCTGCGCGGGGGGGGGGAAAAGGCAAGACATTTCTGTGCGTTGCAGCCGGCCTGATGGAGAAAGACTTTTTGTGGCACGGTGACTCCTTCACCCTTTGGAAGGAAACAAAGGCAGGGCAGCAACTGCTTTTAGCGGTATAGCGGGCTTTTTATTTTTTTCTCTCTCGCTCAGAGATAAAGTTCATAATTTCTCAAACCGAGGCACTTGTATGGAGATTTATTCAGGACTCCTGGATTTTGTTCCTGACTTTGCCCAGACCCAGCAAAGAGAACAAGCTGCTTTGCTTCCTTCTTCCCAGCCACAGGATGAGGGACGATAGATACTCCCTGCCTCCCGAGCGTTGTGCTTAACTAACACGGCCTGGAGTCCGGAGGAAAGATGCTAGAAAAGTATCAAGCGTTCATTTGCCTCGGGGCAAGGGGGAGGCTGGGAACCTGTTAAAATTTCTGTTTGTGGCTTTTGCCATGGAAAAGGAAGCTCTCCTCCAAGTGTTGGTGGCACGGAGCGCTTATATCCAAATGGTGTCTAAACCTCAATAATCAGAGGCCAAACACTTGAGGCTGCTTGTGTTGAAACAGGCCCAGCTAACTGTGCCCAAGAGGGATTTTGGTAAGAAAAGGTGCCTCATTCAGGGCTTTTTTGGAAACGTGATCTCTGAGGACTAGCCTGGTTTCAAGCCTTTATGTGAAACTCTCCAACTGGCTGGAGAAGAATGGGATGATTATTGCTGAGGAGGGTTTTCAGCCGAATTAAATTGGCAGCGTCAGAGCAAAGGCAGTGTTCTGCGTTCCCTTGGATTGATTTTTGTGGAGCCTCTTTACCAACTGCTCAGCCTTTGCCATCTGCACTCAGTGGAAGTGGCAACAAAGCAAGTTCATAAATACACAAATAATCAAGCTCTGATCCAAAGGCTTGTTTGCGAGAGGGCCTTTCTTCTCCCCGGCCATTTAGCATAAATGTGCAAATCAATATCCTGAGTGAGGTTGTCAGTCAAGGGTATATCGGGTACCGTGGAGAGAGCAGAGCGCTCCACCATTGACCGGCATGAGGGTGCCCAGCACTGGAGGGAGAGAGTTACACAGGCAATATTGACTGGACCCATGCGCCTGCAGGGGGCTCGACCCTCCTCTCATTTACCTCCGTTTTATCTGCATGGATGCTAGGGGAATTGTCCTGAGGGATGCGAGAATTGAGTTGACAGATCATGGTCTGAGACATAGAGGTCAAAGCATAGGACTGGGAGTCAGGAATCGGTGCTTTGCTGTTAGCCCTGGCCCTGACTCTCTCGGTGACCTTGACCTCTTGGTCTGGGAGAGAGGTTAACAGGAGTGACCCACCTCCTGGGGCAGTTACTGCCGCACTAAGACCAGAACCTGCTTTATTCAGATTTCTGCTGTGCTGGAGGAGATCAGTGCAGAGCAAGTCGCAAGCAGCAATGTTCTTGCTTTCTCAGTAAAGGCTCTTGGAAAACATCAGACACGAGGAAATGCCAATCGGGAAGCATGCCCCCAACAACGATCAAGGCAGTTTCCAGTCAGTCCCAGTCGGAAGCCCAGGGTTATTAACTGATGATTCAGGAGTGCCAGTCATAAGGAGTTGCCATTGAGCATCCGTGCACGTGGGTGTTTGTTTGCTTCTTGGAGGTTGTTTGCGATTATCCAAGCGTTAGACAGCCATGTTTGTGGGCCACTTATTACCCACGGCTCTGGATACATTTGATTTGAATGAAAGCAGATTATGTTATGTTGGAACAGATGCCAGGCTTGAGACTTTTCAATCTTTGTTGTTATTTATGCAAATCTTGCACCTGCTGTTGACTAACACATCTCAGAGTTTGTCCCGGGAGCCAGAAATGTACTGGGCTGGCCTGCAGGGAGGGAAGGGCTTCTGGTCTGGGGGCGCTCTACTTCCCTGTCTGGAGATCAGCAGCATCAAGTGTACGAGCGGATGCTGTTTCTGGGTGCAAACGCCACCACCTTAAGCAAGAAGTTGTTGTGTTTCAAAAGGTTCGATGATGCAATGCAGAGGAACACCAAAACCCCATGCAAATGAGTTGGCTCTGTTCAGAGCTTCATATCCTAATGCCCAGTTTGTCCAGTAATTAAATAAGTGAGCTGTAACCTCCGCTCTTCAAAACTGGTGCCTTGAAGCTGACAAAAAATATTGTGTTTGCTCTTTGATCAGTTGTTTAGTAAAACTAGGCATCTGCTTTATTAGCCCTCTATTTTTTTTGTTGTTGCAAGAGGAAATGAGTTCTGAAAGGAATCAAACTTTCATAGCAGGAGCCAGGCTGGGTCAGACCCGTGGGTCCAGCTAGTGCAGCATCCCTGGCAGTTGGTAGCACTGGGTTTTTAAGAGGCAGGGCAAGAAACCTTGTGGCACGTAGCTGTTCAAGAGGAACAGTAAAATGTCAATGAGGCAGCAGCTTCCGGTCTCAGGAGACAAAAGCAGTCGCTACCTGTGGTTAGCTGAGCAGACTTAGGGTATGATCTTATTCTCAGAAACCAATGAGTGCTCTGGCTTCGGTAAGAAGAGATGCAAGCTCATGAACAGTGAGTACCTTTTAAAACATTGAAGATAATGTCTGGAGCAGAGATGTTTTCAAATGGTCAGGAGTAGGGTGTATAATGGGTATGCAGTAATATGTAAGTATAGCTGATGAGGCTTAGGCCTAGCAAAGCAATCAGGCCTCGCAACTGAGCCTCTAAATATGAACAGGCCAGATAACAGGGTGGCATTAGCAGAGGTTTAGGTGTTGAACCCAGCAAGAAGCTTAGTGCAGTTTGCAGAGTGTAGGAGGACTGTGGTCACTCACACTGAAAAGAAATAGCAGTTTAAAGTTATTGAAAGCAAAATAGCAGCTCCCAGGGCTTAGAGCAGAGGCCCTGGCAAGGTATTTTTCATGCTTGTTTTTGAGAGAGCCCGGCAGGTTAACATTGAAAGCAAAAGCTCATTTCCTGCTTGAAAGTCCTGCTAAAGTGAATGAAGCTCTCGGGGCCAGATCTGCAGCTGGCTAAGGCAAATGTTTCCACTCAGCGGGGCTGTCTCTGCCTATTGCCCAGACTCACAAAGACGCAGTGGCAGGTAGTTAGCACCATGCAGAATAATGCCCAGCGCTGCAGGGGTGACTGGTACATGCATTTCTCGTTCTGCTTCACCAGTGGAAAGAGCCTGGTTTCCATCTGTCCACAGGCACCACGGAGAACGTGACTGGATCCTCAGAAGGGGCGATGGTGGCTGAGTTTCCCAGAGAGGCAGCTTGGGCACCTTCGCTGCTGGAATACCACCAGGCACTGCACTTGTGCAGCTAGGCTGGTTTACACAAGCTGAGGATCTTTCCTGTCTTGCTCTATTGCTGTATCTCAGTCTTGATGTACAAGGCCCCGTGTTAGAGGTGCCAAGTTAATGAGCCTGGAGTCCAGTGATTAGAGATGCCAGGGTGCCTGGCCTCTGTGGGAGGAGTAAGTGCTCTCCTTGCCCACCCGCCCCGTCTGCATGCCTGGCATCCTGCACCTGTCCTAGCTGCCCTAGCAGAGCCTGTAGCACTTCTGCTGCCCCTGCTGTACACCTGGCAGCCTGCGTGCTGGCCGCTTCCAGCAGCATGCTCTGGGCTCTGCTTCAGGCAGGCAGGTGGATGCGGGGCTGGAGCCATGCTTTGCAGCCGAGCTCATCCCAATCACTCCTCCCGTGCTCCCCGGGCTGGTGAGACCCGCCGTGGGGGCAGAGGTTGCTGGTGTGCGAGACCCCAGAGGAGCAGGGAGGGGGCAGGCAGTGGGAAAAGCAGCACGTGATGGGGGCCGGTCCTCCTCCCCTGCCACTTTTACCTAGCACCAGCTATACCTTTCTGGTCTCAAAGGGCCTTCCATACCTTTTACAAATTTAGATTCTAGGTCCGTGATTCTCAATTGGGGTGATGGGAAATTCAGAAAAGTCATGCGGGGGGCCTTAAGGCTAACAAAGTTGAGAACCACGATTATAGGCCCTCACCATCCAGTAACCTTTCTAGCACAGCATGCATGCTGCGTCCTTTGCTTGTCCGCTCAGAAAGTGCCAAATGTAGACAAAGATCCAGCAGGACCCGAACCAACCAACTCCTAGATGCTGACTTCCAGGCTGTCATCTTTTAGCTGTTCATTCCCTTGCATTTCGTTTCTGGCCTTTTGAGACTGCTACAATATGCTGGAAGACAGGGGTGATGATGATATAAAATTACTGGAGTGAAATTTGGATTCGGGTACGTGGGCCGCAGCTTCCCGAGGAGTAGGCTGTACATCTGTGTGAAGTGAATTTCTAAAATGAGTCAGTTAGTTCAAACCTCTGTTTTAACCTTCTCTCACCTCGGAGCCTTTCTGAGGCCGTATATAACCTAGTTTTGCTTTCAGTGTCCCAAT